ATATTAACATGGTATATACTTGTTGGTGATACGAAGACATTCAATTGAAAATGTCTATTTTGAGCACTTACGATGACTGTGACCATTTCCTACTAAAATTATTACGTAAAGACTTTTTTGATCAAGTCCCTATTAAAAATAGTGATTGCGCTAGGTGACTCTGTCCAATACTGAAGTCATTTTTTAAAAAGATCAGAATTCAGAAGTTTTTTAAAATAGTTCCTCAAATAATCATATTTTTATCCTTAATATTTTAAAAATTAAATAAATATCTCAAAATTTCAAGAAATCCTTTTTCCAAAAAAAAAATGAAGCAAACAGGCTTTAATGGTTTGATATGGGAGATGATAGATTTAATGTGATCATAGGTTTTTTTTTTTTTTTTACATTTACAGATATCTTCTTATTAGATATAATCATATTTAAAATACTATCAAGCATTATTATGTATGGACATCTTTTTTAACAAGAATTCAAACATTAATTCACCATATTATAAAAAACTAGTTGATTCCGCTAGACCCAACTACATTGATGTAATCATAGTTTTTTAAGTAGTTTAGTAATGTGATTAATATAATCAATCTTGGATCCCTCACAAGTGGCGAGTCAAAGTTTGAATCTCCTTTAAGAGAAATGTCCACATTTAGTATCCGACCATAACTAAATCATGATTACCTCTAATATTAAAAGGATATGCGGATAACCAAAAAATATAATTAATCTTACTATTTGCGTATTTTTTTTTTGTCAGCATTTAACATTCTTAACATTCTGGTAGTACTCTTAGATCGATTTATTTTTAAAAGGAAATAATACTTTTAAGAAAAAATATTTTTTATCAATTGCTAAATGATTTGATACCCCTATTAGCTTACAAAAAAAACGGTAGTTCCTAATAATGCCATTCTTAATAAGCGAGAAATTGATATGTATTTTCTCTTTTCCCTGTTATAAAGAACTTTCAATTACTTCACTAAAACTAACAAATGGAAGTTAACTAATTAAATATGTCATAAAATAAAAAAAATTGATTAAAAATCAACCATAACCATGTGCAGTACTCAGAAAGATATAAAATCAACAGCGGCTGAACATCCCAAATCCCTCAAAACTTGATTTTAAACCTATTTTATGCAATCTCCCATCTAATCTAAGTAGGCTCTATAATTAACTTTACTAAAATCCCATTTCGTTTTCTAGTCAATTTTAAGTTCTCTTTGGATAACACCTTCCAAATTTTAAATTTGTTTTTGGGAGAATTTCAAGGTAACATCTGTATGAGAAGAAAAAATTAGAGCTTTTGCAAAAGAACCTTTGAAATGAAAAAATAAAAAATAGACAGACTGTAATAACCTATAAAGTTTTGTGAAAAAAATTAAAAAATTATATTAAATATATAATAAGGTGTATTAATTATAGTTATATTAATTTTGGGATCATTATGATAAGAAGAAGTGTTGGTGTAGTGGAAGGAGCATGCAATCCAATCATCAGGTTTCAAATTCGAATTTGACTAAGACCCAAAAAGGGGATTTTACTTTGTTTTTGTTTTTTGAAATTACCAAATTGCCCCTTTTCAATCTAATAAGGCTTCTCGTCCCTTTTCTTCGATTGTTCAAGATTTGTCCAGAGAGAGAAGTGCTCTGCCTCATGCTTCATTCCTTCACTCTTCCTCTGCGTCTCCGATTCCTTCCTTTTTGTTTTCAGCCATCACCGGCGTGAGCTTTGATTGCCGATCTGTCATAGCTGGCTGGAGTGAGAGCTCGTTTTCTGTTGTTGGAAGTCAAACAAAAATCTCTTCCTTCTTCCTTGTACGAGCTCAGTGTTTCACTGGGTTGAGGTATAGATTATGGGAATCATTTTGCTTGTGCTGCTGTCGAGTTTTATTTCTATTATGTTCTTGGTTATAATGCTTCTTCTCTCTACTCGATTCTCGCTGTTACTCTGTTCCTGTAAACTCTGTCCAAGCATTGCTAACGGGTGGAAGAAGCTGAAGCAACACTGATTCTGGTTTTTTTTCCTTTCTCTTGAACGGTGCTGCATCTTTCACTGTTCCTTGCTCAGCTGGAGATTCCATCTTCTCTCCCTGTTTGGTTGGCAATCTCTTGATCTCTCCCTCTTTCGCTGTTATTGGTGATTAAGGTGAGGATTTTTGAGCACTCTTCCTTTGTTGAGCCGTATGAGAGGGAGTGTGAGTTGATGGCTGAAATTATAGAGTTCTTTGATATAACCTTGTTGCTGCTGTATGTTGTAAGAAGAAGGTTCAAATTTGAGCTGAAACATGACTTAAGACTTGGTAGTGATATATATATGGGTCATAATTTTGGAGTTAAATTAATTTTATTTGAAATAGTTGATGCAAAGAATTTATTGAGGTTAAATTGGAAGAGAATAGCTTTGATAATTACTTGAATATTGGCTTCATTAAGATGTCTACCGAAATGTGTGAAATAATTTTAAAGCATAAATTTTGGTTTTGAATTTTAAGTGATAATGATTGATATAGGAAAAGTAGAAGGAAGTCTTTATAAAGTAAAGACGATTTGTTAAATTTTGTTTAATAATATACTTATAAGATGTGTGGAAGATGAGGATCCTAACAGAAATTGAAGAAAAAATATTGTGAGAATCTGGAATTTCAACAAATAAGTGAATAGCATTCCCTTTAATTTATTTTATTGTCATAGACTTTTATTGAACCATTTTATTTTTATGAATTATATTAATTTTGAAAATTATGAAATATTGGTAAAGGACAAATGAATTATGATATGTGAATTTATTTATTATCAAAAAGTGTATTCCCAAGGTTGATAAAAGCACTCATGTATGATTGTTAAGTTTTGAAATGTATTGACTACTCAAGTACTGTAAGTTTGGTGTAATAGCTATAAAGTATAGTTTTTACAAAATTTAAGATTTGAAACAACTCATGCAAGTTTGACATTGAGAATGAAAATTTTATTATAGCAATAATTATTTTTCTTGCAGGTTTGAAACATAGTTTTTAAAGGATTCTAAACAGAACACTGTTGCTAATGACAGTTTCGTTAGCCCGTAGTGCGCTGTGGTTAACATTAGCTAGTTTATTTCATGAGCTTTGCTCTCACATTTGGTATTCGTGGGCTTTGTACCTGTGTTTGATTCCGTGATCTAAGCCGCATTTGGTTACTTACCCTCGTGGACAGTATGTCCACGTTTGTTTCATAGCTTTGGCTACGTTTGGTTATTTACCCTCATGGACTGATGTGTTCACATTTGTTTTTGTGGCATAAGTCACGTTTGGTTACTTACCCTCGTGGACTATGTGTTCATGTTTGTAATCTGTTCTGTTGAGTTCTCAAAATTTAAAATGTTGATTAAAGTGTTTTCAAAATTTACATGATTTTAGCTAACAATTTTACCACTTTGAATTATATGTGAGTAAACTGTTTTCTTTAAGCATTATAGTATAAATTTTTTTCAACTTACTCATATTTTACTATTATGGTTATAACTTACAGGTTTATAAAATTTTGAGGAATTATTTTAATTAGTTAGCACCATTATTAGAGTTTGTTTATTTTAAATTTTAAGAATTTTACCAGAGAAATACTATTCACTAAAAAACTTATTTTGATCTCAAATTTGTTAACTGACGCTGATTCCCTTGACCTCTGAAGGGCAAACCAGCTGCAGTGGATGAAAATTTTTGATTGGTACTGTTGCTTTTAATGTAAATATATTTTTTAACAATTAGCTTAAAGTAAAAGTGATTTGATTATTTTTTTCTTTTATAAAAATTTATTAGTTTAAAGGGATGTGTGAGTGGTCACCCTCTATTTTTAGGGCTTGACACAGACATTAGATGTTTTTGTGAAAATCGGGCTTCCATTCACCATTAGCTTGAGGGTAATGGCTTCTCTTCCTGCATCATCGCGATCTCCTGTCTGAACTCTCACAACGTATTGGAATTGCTCCCGCATGCAATCCCATTTCGATCAACATCTAGAATCAGACATGTAACACAATACTAAGTAGATGAAAGCTTGCAACCCATGGGTGAAACCAAACTAATATTGGATCAAGAGAAGAAAGCAACTTACAGTTACAGATATGGCTATTGCAACGAAGCTGATGAGTGAGAGCAGAAAAAAAAGACGAGACATTGCATCTCTGAGAGCCATATTTTTTATAAGGATGATGAGGAGCTTAAACAACCTTTGCAGCTATACGCCTTTATGTAGAACACATGCATGCACGTCTGTCCAGCAGGACGAGTATTATTATGTGATGAACCTAATGAATATACACAGTGAAACTTATGTGATGTTCAATCCAATTCGGTAGGTGCATCGCATAATACTTTTTTTTAAATATGCATAATAAAACTCTTGTCCAGATATCCGTTAATTTATGTCCAATCCAACTCCACAGTCAAACCCCCAACAAGATTAATTGTTTGTACCCACGTCGCATATGGATAATATATAATGAAACGTACTTTGAAGTTGATTTCAAGTGTGGTATATTGGTATAGATACTTTCTAGATTAAATTGAGGCTGATGAAAATCATGAGCCCGTTATCATTTTATAATGTGGAATGTCAGACTTTTGTTGTCATATCCTCCCACTATCAACTACAGGCTAGCTCTCGCTTCTGTGGTTTGAACCAGTTCACGGCAGTTCCGAGAGAATTACCGAGGAGAAATTTTCTAAAAAATTATTTTTTTATAGAATGAATTTCCATTATATTAATTCATAAATATGACATACTCTACATTTCTCAAAAAGATGTTGCAATAAAAAATTATAATTATTAACCATTCCCAAAAGCTAAGTTTAGATGCATAATAGACACAAACAATTGTAATTTTGAACATTTGAATAAACTTATAAAAAGGTTGTCCCCCAACAAAACTAATAAAAAGGTATGTTATGAGTTCCAAAAACCTAAATTTTGAAGAAAAAAATCCTCATGCTTTAAGAAAAGATGGAATTACTCAGGACGCCAATATAATATAAATGTATACTAGAAAAACAACTTGAGCAAATTCAAGGAACTCCAGAAGTTTGAATGTAAGGGCGATTACAAATTCAAAGGCATAAAAATTTAAGTGATGATGATGAAACATCTAAATCACGCACAAACTGATTATGGCCACGTGGACAATTACCATCCTTCATTATGCAATCTTTTAGCCTCTATTATTCTCTCCAGAAGGAAAATAATTTCTTCTGATTAGACTTAGTTCCTTGATGACATCCATCCCACTCATCCTTTCATGTGGCGATTCCATTGAACAAACAAGTCCAATCCTAAATAAAGAAATTAAGCATTTCTCTACATTTGGATGGATCATTGTTATGTTCTCTAATGATTCTCGTGATGTTACCGCTTCATGTTCTAATTCTCTGGAGAAAATAGTAGGGTTCACAATCTGCAAAAGCTTATCAGGAAATGCCCTTTTCACGTATTCATGGATATTTTGACCATCTTTAAACATATTTTCCATGGGTCTTCTACCTGTAAGCATCTCTAAAACAAGAATGCCAAAACTGTACATGTCACCCTGTCTTGATACCTCGAAACCCATTCCATATTCTGCAGTAGTGTAAGTTTGTTATTTCTCATGTAAAATCATCAAATATAAATATAAATTTAAAAGGAAAAGCCTTTTTAAAAAAATTGCATTTTTCAACTTTCAAGGCCAAAAAATTATTAAATGGCACCTGGAGGAAGATAGCCAAATGTACCCTTGATTCCAATCGTGCTGCTTTGCTTATTAGAATTGCCTTCAACAATTGAGAGTAGTCTTGCTATTCCAAAATCATTCAAATGAGCAACCATGCTGCCATCAAGAAGGATATTACTTGGCTTTATATCACAATGAACAAGAGGTTGCTCACATTCATAGTGAAGACAGTGTAAAGCAGAAGAAACATCAACAAAAACATTCAATATTTGATCAAGGAGCAAATTTCTTGGATTATACTCTGCATTTTCTGTATTATTAGGATTTCCAAGCTTCCATTCACCATATACTCATAGACTAGAGCTTTGAATTCTAGTCCCTTGTAATCAATGCTGGAGCAACATGTTAAAATCTTTACCAGATTTCGATGCCTTGTATTTTTAAGTGCATTACATTCGGCCACAAAACTCTTCTAGGCTCCCCTGATTTGAAGGTTGATTACCTTTATTGCAACTTCTTCAGATTCCAATCGGCACTTATATACAGAGCCTACACTCCCAGATGCTATCAAATGGTTGATAGAGAACCCATCAGTAGCATTGTGTAACTTTTGATATGATACTTTTGAAAGCATGTCAATTGATGGTGAATCTGAAGAATATTTGTTGCTTCTTTTCCTAAGATGATAAATGGCAACAATAGATAATAGAAGAAGAAATGCAGTCACACCACATACAGATACTATCATCTTGAAATTAGGATGTTTTCTTTCTCCCACAAATTCGAGAGGGCAAGGTGGGAGTCCTAGCTTTGAAATGCCTCCACAAAACTTATTATTTCCCATAAGTGTTATTGCACTTGCATTGCCAAAGACACCTTCATTTGGTACCTCCCCTTCAAGCATGTTGAAGGAAACATTTAGGTACGTCAAATAAGTAATATCCTGTATGCCTTTTGGAATTGATCCAGACAAGTTATTCTGTGACAAGTCTAGATATCTGAGACCTTTTAATGAAGCCAAAGATAAGGGGATCCTTTCTTGAAAGAAATTCCCTTGCAACAAGAGATACTCTAGGCTTTGGCAATCTCCAATGGATTGAGGAATATTTCCATACAGACGATTGTGTGAGACATCCAATTGACCAATATTTTTAACTTCCCTACCTCCTCAGGGAGATCATCACTAAAAGAATTGTATGACAAGTTCAGTAATTGATAAAGATGAAAGGCTCATCATCTGGACTGGTATAGCTCTATTAAAATTGTTTTGTGACATATCAAGATATTGTAAACTTTCACAATTCCCAATACTTGGAGGAACTTGGCCTTCTAACTCATTATGTGACAAATCTAGGTGAAATAGCCAAGTGAGATTGCCTATGAAGTGTGTTATTTCTCCAGAAAATTGATTTCCACTCAAAGACAAGTATTGCATTTATTGAAACTCCCCGAAAGTGATTGGGATGATGCCAGTGAAATAATTCATGTCCATTTCTAGGAACGTCAGGTTAATGAGGTTTCCAAATACCGCAGGAATTTTGCCAGATATTTGATTATACGAAAGATAAAGTGATGTGAGTTGAGTAGACAAATTACCTATGGTATTTGGTAAATAGCCCCCAAAGTTATTTTGCGAGAATGCTAGCACGTTCAACTTGCTGCAGTTTCTCAAAGAAGTTAGAAACTCCTTGTCTTTAGAAGAATTACTTCCCATACTATTATAAGCGAACTCTAGAAAGTAGAGTCGCGCAACTTTCCAAGATTTGGAATTTGCCCTACAAAGTTATTTCCTCCTATAGAGATTTGTGCAAGCGTTGTTGCATTTACAATGGATGTTGGGACAAGACCTGAGAATTGATTGCCTTTAAGACCCATGTATTGGAGATTTGGGAGGTTGATGAACATGTTGGCTGGGAGAGAGCAATTAATTTGATTTAAAAAACTCCAAGTAGATAGAGAGATGACAAGTTGTAAAGAGAAGAAGGAATTGCACCAGAAAGCTTGTTGTCGCCTACAGTAAAAAATCTCAACTTTTGTAGAATGCCTATTTCTTCAAGGATACTCCCTTCCAGGTTATTACCGGCCAATGAAAGAAAAGCAAGGGAAGAAAGATTCTACATGGACATTGGGATTTTCCCACTTAAGTTGTTTTTAGGAAGAAGTAATCTTTCAAGCTTATGGAGATAGCTGATCTCCATCGGTATCTTGCCAGTTAGATTATTTCCACCAAATGATAAGTTCCTGAGCTAAGAGCAATTTGTGATGTTGATAGGAAATTTCTCACTTAGTGTATTGTTGCTAATGAAAAGTGTTTGCAACCGAAACAAACAACCTAATTCTTATGGGATTTCTCCGTGAAACATATTGTTGTCAAGAACAATGACTCTTAGGAAGGAGAGATTACCAATATGGGGAGTTATAGATCCACGCAAGCCATATCCATTTAACCGCAGCTCTATAACTCTATGATGCTTGTGGCCACAAGTGACTCCGTGCCAGTTGTAGAAGTGTGCAGTTGCATTCCAAGAGTCCAAGATATGGTGTGGATCGTCAGATATTGATTCCTTGAATTTGAGTAAAGACAGGTGGTCAGTGTCATTTCCCAATGAAGAAATAGCTTTGCAAGGAGGAATGATGAAAGCAAAGAAGAGAAACAAGCGAAGGCATATAGGCAAAATGGGGAGAAACATGACAGATGAAGGCTTCATTTGATTGATTGAGAAACACAAGCTAGGCTACTTTGAGAGAGCCCTTTGTAAGGGAATTGGCTTGCAACTAGTGGAAACATTCATATTTGTTTATGATATTATAGTCCGACTTCAATGGTGGAGGCCACATATTGTTTTATTTGTAGTTAAATTAGTATATGGAACAGAAGTATCGCCTCAGTCCATTGCGCCGTCATGGAAAGTTTGAAGAAAAAAGCCAAATTTTGTCATGGCAACAATCGGTGGCTCCTTTGTTTTTTTCCTTTCAAGTTGTGGTCACTTTTCTAGTTGCCTTCTGATTTAAAATAAAAAATAGTAACTGTCTTTTCCAAAATCTTTCCGCACAAAGTTTATCGCCATGCAACGACGGACCCAAATTCCCTACCCATCCCTGTCCTGCAAATTTAAAATATTTTTATATATTTTTATTTTATATTTATTAAAATAAAAATTTATAAAAATTATAAAATAATTTTAATAATCTTTTTATTTTAATTTGATCTAGATTTAATTTAAAGAGTTTAATTTAATATTAAAATTTTTATAATTGTTATATATTGACTATCTAAATATACTGTGTATAATCCAGATTTCTGACACAATCCAGATTTATTCTAACATTAATTTGGACTGTGCAGAATACATCTAAATAATCAATATATATCAATTATAAAAATTATAATATTAAATTGAACCTTCTAAATTAAATCTAGACCATATTAAAAATAAAAAATTTTATTAAAATTATTTTATAATGTCTGTAGATTTTTATTTTAATAAATATAATATATAACAATACTTGAAATTTGGATGATCCAAATTTCATTACATAGATGACCACAATTGTGATAAGTAGGGAAACCAGTTCCATGCAATGACTAAAGCCAAAGTCTTTCTCTTGGTAGTTGGTATGATATTCATTTTATTTTGATTATTATGAAATAATATTATATCAAAATAATTATTTTTCACTATTTTTAAAATAGTTTGGGAAACTTTAGTTAGAACTCCCAACAATAAAAAACTAAGTTAAAGGTTCAAGTCTGATCTTCACAATGTACTAAAAAAACACTTTTGTCACGCCTCGAAAATAAAAGATGACTGACATGCGTGCGAACTATATGATACATTCCTGTAAGCCTTAAAATAAAAATTCATTCCGTTTAAAAATAATAATCAAATTATATATAAATTCTAACACTTTTAATATTAATTATCACAAGAAGACTTCAACGTTTTCGTAGAAATTTCGACAGAACCTCCCTTATAAATAAGATCTCCCGAAAATTTAAAAAAAAAATTCACAGAATACAATACCAATTAGGAGCTTAGCTCCTTCCAGCCAATAACAATATATAATCAAAATAAAATCCTAACAACAATTTATGTGGAGCAATTAATCCTTCCTCTAAATTAAAATACATAAAACTTAAATATTTACATCAAAGGTAACAATATCAAAGATAATTTTCACCCAATATAGCTGTATTGTCCTTTTGAGGTCGGCAGTAGGATCAGCGTCAGTTAATGAATTTAAGACCAAATTAAATTTTTCAGTGAATAGCATCCTCAAAACATAATTTAAAAAAATTAAAATAATAAACTCAAATAATCATGTAAAATAATTGAAAAGATGATAATTCAACATAATAACTTCATAAATCTGTAAATCATAATCATAACCATCAAATGAGAGTGAATTGAAAATACTTTATTTTATCTTGGTTAAAGAAAACAAATTACTCGTACACAAATCAAAATAGTGCACTTGATAATTGAATCATTGGAATTTCGAATGTCAAGTTAACCAAAATTCAAATTTTTAAGGACTTACAGAACAGGTAACAAACATGGACACATAGTCCACGAGAGTAAATAACCAAACGCAGTTTATGCCACGAAAACAAACATGGACACACAGCCCATGAGGATAAATAACCAAACACAGCCGAAGTTACGAAACAAACGTGCACACATAGTCCACGAGGGTAAGGCTAACCAAACGCGGCTTAAGGCCACGAAATCAAACGCGGGTAGAAAGCCCACGAATAACAAACGTGCGAACAAAGCCTACGAAACAAACTAACTAGTTATTAACCACAGCGCTACAGGCTAACAGAACTGCCGCTAGCAGCAGTGTTCTATTTTGAGTCCTCTTAAAAATCACATTTCAAACATGCGAGAAAAATAATTATTTCTGCAATAAAATTTTTGTTCTCAATGCCAAACTCACCTGAATCATTTCAAATCTTAAAATTTGCCAAAATAATACTTCATAGCTAAAGTAAAAACTTGCACTAATTAAGTAACCAAGAAATTCCAGAGTTTAATAAACAAAATGCCTTTATCAATCTTGGAAACATATTTCTTGAAAATAAATAAATAAATACACATATCATAATTTAAGTATCCTTCATCAATATTTCATAATTTCTAAAACTAATATAATTCATAAGAGAAAAATATTTTAGTAAAAGACTATTAAAAATAAATTAAATATCTAAAATTTTCAAAATTCAAATTTCTCCTCTCATCTTTAATTAAATTTCTCCCCTTCCAAACTCCATATAAATCATATTAAAATTTTATTTAACTCTCAACCAATACAATAATTCCTTTTTCCAAGCTCACTCATCACCAATATTAAACTATAATACATTTGAATTTTTTTTAAATCCTCACTAGTATTTGGTCAAGGCACCAAACATAAATTATTTTCAATCTCCTCATAAAAATGTTAGCATTCAATATTTTCTCAACAACTATCCATCTTCAAAATTCAAAAAAATCACATTATAAATTCCATAGACAAATATCCTTTACAACATTCGAATTAAATTTCATACTTCCCACAATAACTAATGAATCTCCATAAATACTCAAAAATCAAATTCAATTTCAGCTAATAAGCACTTCAATAACCATCTTATAATCACCATTCCTCAAGCTTCATATCTCATTTCTTCTAACATAATCCTAACCAATTCTTCATTATCAACCAATTTAAACAAAATAAATTTAACTCAAAATTAACCCATATGTATATCATTATCAACTTTTAAGATAATTTTTAGATCAAAAATTTGAATTTCCTCCCCTCTACAACAGTACGGCAACAGTAAGGCACAAAAAAACTGTAATCTCACGCGCAACAACAACAGAGCACACTTACACTCACAGCAGAACCAACAATGAAAAGTTTTGAATCTTCTCACCTAAACCCAGCAGAACAGAACAAAAAAAAGGAGTAGGATGAGGTAGCCGAAGTGTAGCCAAACTGAGAAGAGGATTAGAAAAGAAGATGCTCAAGCAACAGATGAAGCTCTCCCCACGATAGTGACGAGCTATTTCAGAAAGGGAGAGGACAGTTGAAAGTTCAAAAACCTTGAGCACCAAACTTTTTTGCTTCTCACACAGACCACCCGTGGCCTTCACATCAGCGATCAACGGTAACAGAAATCAGAAAAGAAACAGAATAGAAACAAGAAAAAAGCAGAAGAAGAAGAAAACAACAGCAAACTCACGGTGAGTTGAGACCCACGCCAGCAACACTGGAACGTTGGAGGGGATGGACAAATTGATAGAGTTGAGAGTTAGTCAGAACTTCTTCTCTATCGGTGAACTCTAGAAGAATCAAAAAGAAAGGTGAAGATTTTTATCAGATTTAGAGGAAGGGCTATTTTGTAATTTCATAAGGCAAAAGGCAGGAAAAAAATAAAACATCAGCATTCTGAGATTCAAGCTCAAGACATGATGGGAGTAGTACCAACCAATGTTTTAAAACCCAGACCAGACAGCGAACCAGAAATGTCAGCAGTCACGGGTCTCATAGTTCAACTGGTCGGACCGACGGTCGGACCGGCAACCTAATAATTAAATAAAAAATAACATATATATATATATATATTTAAAATACCACCCAAGTCTTTAATATAACAAGCTAGCAAAAATATACCACCACCTAAGTCTTTCAAAACACCTAAGTCATTAATACAACAAAAACACCATAATATGTTCTGGTCAAGTCATTAACATAATGCAACAAGTTCACAAGTACAACAATCTACAATTCACAAGCCAAACATTATAAGATAACTAATAATTTCATTACTTGCCAAAGATATTGGCAGATCTTTGTCAATCCACTTGATTAATCCAGGCATGGTTAGGCTCGAAAGCATCAGCATCTGCGTTGTAACTATCATCATCTTCCTGAGCAAATGATCCTAAATCAATCCCTTTTCCCTCTACCACATTCACTCTTTGTTGATCATCTTCATAAAAAAATGCATCAAAGTAATCAAACTAGATTAAAGCATTCTTAAGAGCAATATAATAAAAGTGAAGCATGTAATAAAGCTCTCAAGAAATTTCAAATTCAAACCTTCCTCTTCCTGTTGCGAAATAATAGCTCTTGGTAGTGTTTGCTCATCATAAGGAGATCTCCTTCTATCTCATCAGCATGAAGTAAAGAAGGATCATCTTCTTCCATTACCCAATACTCAATTTTATCAATACTTTCAAAATCAACAGGATCAGTTTCTTTTCTCTTATTAGCAACTCTAAAATACACATGACAATAGAAAACTATAAGAATTCATTCATCCAATCTTTATGAATGCAAATAAACACAAAGCTTTAAATAATATACCTATTCTTTAAGCGAAAATTGTAATGAACATATACAAGATCATTCAACCTTTGATGCTCTAATCTATTCCTTTTCTTGGAGTGTATTCTTTCAAAGATACTCCAATTTCTTTCACAACCTGATGAAGATGCAGTTTGACTTAACAATTTAATGGCTAAGTTTTTAACATTCGGACAACTACTTGTAAAATATCGCCACCATTCATCTACCATATTAAAGATAAAGTTAGTGGAAGAGATTTTACAAATAAAGCTGCAAGATAATAAATATGAAAGATAAATATATAAATCTTTACTTTACCAGGTCGCATTGATTTTGCAGATTAAATAGCCAATGGATGACTAAAGCTACCACTCTTTTCCTGATATTATGTGCCTTCTTACAAAAACTTGGTCTTATTAAAAGAGACTTTCTTATCTATAACAGTAAGATATCCTTGCATAACCTCTGGCTTTTGAGAAAGTTTTCTTTATCATAAAGAAAGGCAGGATTAAAGACATAAGCAGCTACATGAAGATTTTGTCGGAGCTGAGAATCCCACCTTCTCTTAATAATCCTTGTGTAGGGCTTGTACAAATATTTTTCTTAAAAAAAGTATTCTTTATAACTTTCCTTGCCCTATACATACCATCATAGACATACCCAAGTGATGGCCTATCATCAGAATCAACAATTCTCAACAATCGGATGAGTGGTTTTACAATTTCAACAATAATTTTAGAGTCATTCCAAAATTTATTGTCCAACACAATCATTGTCACATCCTTAGCCTTTCAATCCTTAGAGTATCTAGAGTCTGTAAATGCCTTACTAGTTATCAAGGCTTATATATCATGCTTGTGCTCATAGATACTCTTCAAAGCAATGAAAGTAGTGGCAAATCGTGTGGCCCTTGGGCAAATAATTTCTACCCAACCCTCTCTTTACCTCAACCAAGCTAGCAAAAATGCATGGTTATATATGAATTTTGAAACCATAGATGCACGTGCTGCTAAACTAGTAACAATCTCCATCTTATCTATGTCTGCCAAAATCAAATTTAAGCAATGGGCAGCACAAGGAGACCAAAAATAGAAGGGTACTTGTCATTTAATAATCTCCCAGCAGCTTTATAATTAGCTGCATTATCAGTTACTAGATGAACAATATTATTCGCACCAATAAATGTAACCATGTCCATGAATAAATTGTAAAGATTTTGAGCATCCTTAACTATATCTGAGGCATCAACAAATTTAATAAAAACAATTCTTCTAGGACAATAAATAAGAAAATTAATCAACTGCTTATTTCTTTGATCTTGCCAACCATCTGCCATTATAGTACAACCAGTTTCAGCCCAAAAACTTCTGCATTTATTAACTAGTAACTGAACCTCCTTTTCATGTCTTACAATATTTTACTTCTCACAGCATGATAATTTAGGGCTTTATAACCAGGACCAATAGCAGCAATAGCATCTACCATAGGTTAGTAGTAAATGGAATTCACAGCATTTATTAGAATACAACAATCATATAACACCTACCAATAGCTAAATTAGCTCTATGCAAAAGCTTCTTTACCTGCAAATGCACTTCTTATTCCTGGTTGTGCACCCGAGGTTGTCCTTGTGGCAAAGAACTTTTCTAAAGATTCAGATGCCTTCTTTTTCTTAATTGAGAAGAACTTGGAACATTTGCTTCAATCACCCTTTCTTGAGACTGTGGAAGAGCCATTTCTTTCATATTTGAATCATTCCCCCCAAATAGACTATCCTCTATTTCTGTTGGGTTATCTTGTTTTTTTTGTTCTCTTTCCCTCAATCTCTTTCAAATTTTCCTCCAATCGAAAGCGAATATCATGAGGCATATTTTTACAACTAATGGCATCTCCTCTTTTCCCAGCAAGGTGCTATTTCATTCTATTAATTCCCCCACCAATAAATTCCTTTGCACAATACAAGCATTTTAAGTGAGGTTTACCACCTTCCTTTTTGTTTGGTATTTGAGTGCAATGCTCCTATGTAGGATTTAATTTAGCTCTAACAGATTGAGTAGATGCAACAGTAGATGCATGATCAAATGATGACATTTTCTACACCTAAATAAGTAAATTAACAAATTAAAAGCAGAGAGACAATATGAATATAGCCTTCCTATTTTGTCAATAAACAACTCTTGAGTCTCAAATCGATTAGGACAACATGAATATAATTATAACCATGTCCATGGATAAATCACAAAGCAGACAACACAGTACAAGAGTCTCGAATGATTTAGAATTCAAAAAATAAACAGCACAGACAATAAAAAAAATGTTCATCCATCAGCATTCATTCATTGCTAATTTGCTATTCAAAACCATGGCATTAGATTAAATTGGGCAGAGAGATAGATGAGGGAGCTCACGAGGACTAAGAGAGAGAGAGAGCGATTAGGGATCAATGAAGAAGATAAAGAATGAAGGATGCTGAGCTCGACGCCGTCTGACTGTCTCGGTGTCTCCCACAGTTACACGCCTGGGCAAGACTCAACCAAGAAGCCGAAAGCAAAACCCAAATGGATGGGAAGGAGAGACGCGAGACAGAGAGAGAATAGAGAAGAGACCTACACTCCCATAGAAACAGTGAAGAAGACAAAGAAAGAAGTCCCAGATGGTTGACTGGTTGAACGGTGAAGACCCACAGAAATGAAACCCAGATGGCCGAGATTTGAGGAGGCGATGTGCGATGAGCCGATGACTGACCAGAATAGCAGAACCCACCGGACACCGTGCGAGACAGAGAGAGAACAGAGAAGAGAAGATTGAGACTGAGACAAGATCGTGAGACGCTAATGCCTAATTTCTTTCTGAGTCTGGCTGCGACGGCGAGGCTGTGTGACTGTAGGCGTTAATGGCTAAAAGTGAAATATGAATTTGATTGTCCAGGCCAGGCGAGAACCTGATAGTGATCTGATAAGGGTTTTTTTTATTTTTAAAATACCAATTTTATCCCTCCTTTGACACGCTTCTGACCCATTCAAACTGCTCTAGGTTTCGGTTCTTTTTTGGGTTTATAAAACCTGTTCAATTCCAAACGAGCCAACCCGGGTCAATTGCTAATACGGGTTAATTGGTTGACCCAGCCCGCTTTCTTCAACGGGTGACGGTCCGATCGGTCCGACCGTCCAAGTCTTTAAACCTTGGTACCGACATAGCTCCCACCATACCAGCTATCCTCACCATCACATTTGTCCTACGAATTTTTATAACTACAATTAAAATACAACAATAATATTTATTAAATTTTTATTTAAAATTCTTGGTTATTACAACTTTGTAGTTACATATATAGAAACAATATTAACAATAATAAACCACCAATTAAATTGAAATAAAAAGTTAAGTCCAAAACCAATATTAATAATGAAATTAATATGAAGAAACGGGCAAAAAAATGAGAGTCGCAAATCTGTTTTGACGCTGTGATCAAAATTCGTCATGACAAAAGCGACGGTCCTTTACTTTAAGAATTAAGATGAAGAACTTGCCGTTAATATCAAAGTTCATTGCATGTAAAATGAGTTTTTACTCGCCAAAATACTATTTAACAAAAAAAAATATTTTTCTATTTTGCTTCATTTCATAAAGATATTGGAAAATTAAATTTTGCAACATAAAAATGAATTAATTATAATCATAATGTGCCTCGTTTATTTAAATTTATAATACACTTTTAAATAAAATTTTATATATTAATAAAGTGCTGGGCTCAGGGGTATCTTAGAAGAGGAGATAACAAAGTTGGGCTACCCAATGATTCAAGGAGGACACATATAAGCAAGCATAACATTACATTTTAATCCAAAACATTAAAACATTGAGTTTATATATCTTTTCTATTTATATATTTATTTTCTAATTTAACTCTATCCAATATAGGACTTTTCTCTATAGTAAGCCAATTTCACTCGCACTTCCTCTCAACGATAGGTCCATCATTGACCACCCCTTATGTGCCTAGCTACCAATAGCTCAGTCTAATAATACTTGTGGGCTTTCAAGACTGTTTTTTCTCCATTATCTTCACATTAGGTCTCTTTCAAAACCTAACTTAATATCACTTAGGGGGCCCAAGGAACACATAGGAAGCGAGAACATATTAGGCCACCCGATAGTTCAAAGAGTGCATGTATGAGTATGTATGAAACAACATCTTAACCCCAAATCTTAAGACGTTGAATTTATAAATATTTTCTACTTATATATATCTTATTTGACCCAACTCTACTCGATATAAGACTTTTTTTCATGTCAAGCTTAGTTCACTCACACTTGACAACCCAAAATAAAACTCATTAAATATATTTTATAATTTTATTTTTTAAAAAGAAATATAAACTTTTAAAATTATTTTTATTTAATATTTCATTTGTGAAAAAAAATGAAAGAGTGAATATAATAGGAAAGATAATGTGATACTTTATTTTTGTTAAAGTATCTTATATTTTAAGATGACTTATAAATTGAAATAAAAAAGTTGTATAATAGAGAATCACAGGTTGACACACTAGAATAGGTAATGTGAATGCGAAGAATTAACACAAGTGGAAATTCCTCTCTCAGTCTTTTGGAAAATTCAAAGAATCCAAATGCATTATTTAATGAATCAACACTAATTATCAACAACTAATTATTTTAATGACAATGTCACCTTTCTTATTTTGAAGAGGTCTTGGGTTCAAATCTAGTATTAATATGCTTGTATGAGTGTGCTTCTCTTTCTTATAAAGAATGGCTAAGTTAGAGATAAAATTTAAAAAAAAAAACAATCAACACTGATAAAATAATATTTAAAGTATAAAAACAACAATATAATTGTATCCACTACTTTAATTCAATGGGCCTCAAGTTTGCCAAGACCACAGATTTGAACAAGTCATCTAAGAACCGTATTGCACGTAATATTGTTTTATGGACCAGAATGATTCGTCCCTCACTCACATCCTTGCATAATTAATTATTATATTTTATATTTTGTGGGTCTCATTTCAAAAGTTGGCGCGCGCGCGCGCGTGAACATCGAAGTATCTTGATCCCATCGAATAAATATGCTTCAAGAATATTTACACACACGAGGTCAAAAACATCTACGCGGTCTAATTTTAGAATATCAATTATCAATATTAAATATCAAAATCTGTGTGTTAAAGTGTCAAATAATTTAAGGATGGTTGGTCCTTTACCGAAA